ATACAGGATGTTGGTGAGGTCACTTTTAGAGTACTGCATATAGTTCTAGACGCCCTGCTATAGGAAAGGTGTTATTAAACTGGAAAGGATGCAGAAAAGGTTTACAAGAATGTTACCAGGCTGAAGGGTTTGAGTTATAAGGAGAGGTTGGATAGGCTGGGATGTTTTTCCCTAGAGTGTAAGGAGTTGAAGTGTGACCTTGTTGAGGTGTATAAAATCATGAGAGACACAGATAAGGTGAATAACCAAGATCTTTTCCTTAGGGTAGGGGTGTCCAAAACTAAAGGGCATAGGTTTAAGGTGAGAGGGAAAAGATTTAAAAAGGACCTAAGGGGCAATGTTTTCACACAGAGAACATAAGAACATAAGAACTAGGAGCAGGAGTAGGCCGTCTGGCCCTTCGAGCCTGCTCCGCCATTCAATAAGATCATGGCTGATCTTTTCGTGGACTCAGATCCACTTACCCGCGTTCTCACCGTAACCCTTAATTCCTTTATTGTCCAAAAAAAATCTACCTTTTCTTTAAAAACGTTTACTGAAGTAGCGTCAACTACTTCACTAGGCAAGGAATTCCATAGATTAACAACTCTCTGGGTGAAGAAATTCCTTCTCAATTCAGTCCTAAATCTGCTCCCTCTAATCTTGAGGCTATACCCTCTTGTCCTAGCTTCACCTGTCAGTGGAAACATCCTCCCTACTTCTATCTTATCTATTCCCTTCATAATTTTATATGTTTCTATAAGATCCCCCCTCAATCTTCTGAATTCCAATGAATATAATCCAAATCTACTCAGTCTCTCCTCATAAGCCAACCCCCTCAACTCCGGAATCAACATAGTGAACATCCTTTGCACCCCGTCCAGTGCCAATACGAGGGTGGCTCGTGTATGGAATGAACTGCCAGAGGAAATGGTAGAGGCAGACACCGTTACAACATTTAAAATACATTTGGACAGGTACATGAATAGGAAAGGTTTAGAGGGATAGTGGCCAATCGCAGGCAAATGGGACTAGCTTAGTTTGGGAAACCTGGTCAATATGGATGAGTTAGACCAAAGTGTCTGTATCTGTGCTATGACTCAATGACTCGGTATTGTTTCTGGAAGCTTGCTATGATGAAATCAGCTGTTGTGTTCCCTACACTACGTCAGTGACTACACTTCAAAACATATCTCTATGGCAGTGAAGCACTTTGGGACATGAGAGGCTTCAAATGGCTTTGGTGGCCAATTCTGACCTTTGCCATTCTGCACGCATGTAAACATTAGGTAAAGGACTGAACTTTGCAGAAGATTCAAAATTGCTCCAAAATTGTCTCATTCTTCACTGACAAGCACTTGCTAATAAGTATGATTGTCAACCTCGGAAATTACATGTCACTGGTCATGGGTTCTATGTGTCCTTGTGTGGCTAACATGCCTGATCCTACAGCCAAATCTCCTACCACATATTTGGCAGGTGTTTCTGGATGTGGAATTGGTCCTTGGTCTTGAGATCATTGGCATTCTATTTTCCAGGTCCTTTCTGTATTTTTCTTACCAACGTGTATTCTCAAAGAACTGTACCCCTTCATACAGCAGTTTCCTCCAAACGAGGGTGTCCAATGCATTGATATATGTGTTGCATTTCTTGAGGAAAGAGTTCAGGGAATCTTTGAAATGCTTCCTTTGTCCTATTCAATTGCTTTCCTTGAGGCAAGTCAAGATGATCTGCTTTGGTAGTTGGAACCCAGGCATTCCAAACACGTGGCTAGCCCAGTGGAGTTGGTTTCGGATGGCCATGGCCTTGATTGGCTGCTTCAAGTACACTGATGTTAGTATACCTGTCCTCTCAGATGATGTGGAGAAGCCATCTTGAACAATATTGATGATACTTCTCAAGGGTCTTGTGGTGGCATCTATACATACTCCAAGTTTCTGAGCCATCTTGATGAGCTAGAGGGGATAACGGCCTTATACACGAGGATATTGTATCAGCACGGATGTCGCAGTCATTGAAGATTCTTATCCTTCGGCGTCCGAAGATTGTGGTCACAGAAGGGATACAATGCACACACGTACAGCAGATAATCAGGAAGGTAAATGCAATGGGAGTCCTTATTTCAAGGGAACGGGAGCATAAGAGTACAAGGTGCTGAGGAGACCGCATCTGGAGAACTGGTCCCCCTATTTAAGGGAGGCAGTATAGCGAAGGTTCACTAGGATGATCCCGGTATGGAGGGATTGTCTTATAAGCAAAGATTAAACAGATTGGGACGCTACTCACTGGAGTTTCAAAGAATGAGAGGTGATCTTATTGAAACATATCAGATTCTTAACGGGTTTGACAGGGTAAATGTTGACAGGATGTTTCCCCTCGTGGGAGAGTCGAGGACCAGAGGGCACAGTCTCAGAATAAAGGGGCACCAAGTTAAGACTCTGATGAGGAAGAGTTTCTTCTCTCTGAGGGTTGAGTGTCTTTGGAACTCTTTGCCACAGGAAGCTGTGGGGGCAGAGTCTTTCTGTACATTTGAGGCTGAGACAGATAGATTCTTGATCAGTTAAGGAATCAGAGCTATAGGGAAAGGGCAGGAAAGTCAGATTAGCCATGATCCTATTGATTGGAGGAGCAGGTTTAAGGGGCTGAATGGCCTACTTCTCTTCTTATTTCTTATGCTGAATCTCCACCTTGATGTCAGCCTTAAATGACAGGTAGCTTCCCAAGTACAGGAAATGTTCCATGTTTAGGAGGATTTCTCCATTCATCATAATGAAGGGATAGACTGGAACTGATCTGGGATTAGGTGGTAAAGGAGTTGAGTCTTCTTGAGGTTGACAATGAAACCCATTCTTCAGTATGTTTCCTCGAAGTGTTAAGCAAGGCTTGAAGATTTTCTTCCAAGAGAGCAGAGTGGAGCATTAAGCTTAGGCTAAAAATTGAATGGGTAGGAGAATGATCTAATTGTAAGTAAAGTTGGTGACTGTATGCTGAAGAACTGAGGGAGGTAGGTACATTTACATAGGTCCTTTCATGACCTTGGGCTCTACCAAAACGTTGTAATTTATTACCAAGAGCAGGGGAGCTCTGTTCATCATTCTAGCCAATGTTTATCTCCCGGTTAGCATCATTGAGAATTCAGCTGGACTCTCATTGTCTAACACCCTGGATTGGGCTCATGGAGGAGCCTTTCCCTTTGGGGAAAGCATCAGCACAACTGCTTCCCGCAAGAGTCCATACCACCAAGAGGATTAGGACAGATCAAGGGAAAATAAACACGTAAAATACATTGGTACAAAAAGGCATTGCATTATATGGTTAGAAGTGAGCTTTCGATCACACACAAACTCTTCCGGCCTCATGTATATCTGGCAGATCTTTAACCAGCTGCAGTTTTTCACAGGGACTATTAAAAAGACATTTGGCAACACGCTTTATAGCCCCTCCCCTAACATGCATTGGGAAAGAAAAGTGATTTCCCATCAAATATTGGAGGCTACTTAAAAAAAAGACCAACGTCAAAAAGAGATAACACTGTGTGGAGCTGGAGGAACACAGCAGGCCAGGCAACATCAGAGGAGCAGGAAAACGTCAACTTTCCTGTTCCTCTGATGCTGCCTAATCTGGTGTTCCTCCAGCTCCACACTGTGCTATCTCTGACTCCAGCATCTGTAGTTCTTGCTACCTCTGATGTCAAAAAGGATTGCCCTAAGGAAAATGCGTCTGTTTAGCACTGCAATAAATGCCCTCACTTTACAGAAATATAGATACTGGAAGGATTGAACACTGAACTGTCATTTGTCTGGCTTCAGAGGTACTACAGCCAATTTGCACCCTGCCAGCCCTCACAATAAGCAATTAAATGTCATTGACCTGAAACATTAACTCTGTTTTTCTCTCCACAGATACTGTCAGACCTGCTGAGCTCTGCCAGTATTTTCTGTTTCTGCTTTAAATGATCAAATAGTATGTTTTAGGTGTTAAGTGCAAGATAAATGCTAACCAAGGCATGAGGAAGAACTCGCCAGTGCTTCTCCTCTTAAAGCATGTCAAAAACGTTCCGAATATTCCAAGGTTGCAAAAGGAACTCTTATGAATGCAATCCCTATTCATTTCTCAGTGATAACACCCATTTTACACACAGTGGCTCCATCCCCTATGAGAGGAATATGCAATCTACAATCTAAGCCTCAGATCAAAATCTCCTGCACCGTCAAATATCATACCCAGGAATGGACTGTAACAGCATTTCACTGACAAGAATGCATCACATTCCAGTTTCACTTTTCCCTACCCAGCCACAGACACACACTGTCAAGGCCGATCACTGGTTAATGATTAGCATTAAGTATCCCCAGCTTAGTTATCCCCCTCCTGACTGGAGTTCATTGAGTTCGACCGCAGTACTTTCACTGCTGCTCTGGCTGAGATCAGCTCACTCATCACAGGCAGCGGTTAAGCCGACCTTCCCGATCTGACTGGGTAACAAAATCATTTTATCAGAAAAAATTTTCTCATCATGTTTCTGACAAAGTACCCAATCATACAAGTGGCAAAGAGCAGCTAAACTTCCCATTCAGTGAGAATGGTGAGCTAACCCACCACACCCAATCACCTACAGCAATATGTACCAAGCTTGCTATGATGGTAAGTGAGAAGGTGCATATATGAAAGTGCGCCCACTTGGGCATTGAACAGAGTGAGAGAGAGCTAGTCATGAATGTTGTAGAAAATAGCAGTAGACCATTCAGCCCTTCAAGATAGATCCTCCATTCAATATGATCATCATTGATCATCGAATCAGTACACTGTGTCCGCATTCTCCCCATACTGATTGCTTTAGCCCTAAGACTGATATATAACTATATGTCCTGTTTGGTTGCACATCTGCCTTTACATATGAAAGAAGGGTGAAGAACCAGAGGTTGGCTGACTCCTACGGAACATGGCAACAATTCCAGAAGGAAGAAATTAACCGCCAAAAAAAAAAACTGACGAAATATGCATTAAATATGTAAATTCACCTTTTCCTGAGAGTTGACTCGCAGACCTTGACCACGCGAATGACTTCTTTAACAGTTCGCCTGAAATCGTGCATTCTAGCAGCAACCAAAAGAGCTGGAAAACACATCAGAATTCATTTCCCAAAGACTGAAAAGAAACCCCCCACCCACCACACACACACACACACACACACGAAGACTGATGTAGGCAGGCAGACAGAGGCACAGACACGAGAGAATCACAATCCAAGGAGACCAATCGCAGGCATCTTCAAATGGAGGTTATGTTTTATTTTATATAAAAGGAGCAAATATCATTAAAATATAAACCAAACTGAGTGAATCTTACTCCAAATAGGTGGGAGCTCACAGCCCTGGGTACACATGCCTCCTAACTCACGACTTTGTTTCGAAATATCTTTCTACTGGCAATATATATTTATCCTTCAGGAGAGACAGACAGAACACATAGCGTGTTGTCAGGGCTCTGCCATTCCACTCAAGTTGATAAGAGAATTGCTCATCAGTGAGCAGTGATGAACTGTTCTCCATGTCAGGGTTTCTCCTTCACAGGCCAGATCTCTGCTGTGACAGCATGAGCCACATTAGTTATTTCGCAGGTTGAAATTTGTCGCCATAAACTAGAATCTTGGCAAAATCTGACGCAAAGAGTTGGTACATTAACAAGGTAGTCAGTCAAGGCATCTCAAACAATTTGAACAGCACTCAAATATCCAAGCAAGCACATAGAAGAAATTACTTTAACTCCTTGCATACTAAGTAGAGAATTCTTACTTTTCCTGCCAAATTGGAAGTGCACTCTGCCCCTTCATAACAGGCCCATCACGATCAGAGGCATAATGGCAAACTGTGGGCTAAGCTAGCGAACCCTGAAACCCATGACTCCAAAGTACTGCACCGTCTCTGCCAAGCCTTTCTGCCTTTGCTCAATTGTTCTCCTCCCCCAGCTGTTTCAGCTATGGCTGGGATATAGTTCAACAGGTGTTTGTCAGTTTCCAGCATCTCCTCCAGCCAGTCCTCCTGAGACAGTGTGCTAGGGGTGGGGTGCTATTTCATTGCCAGAGGCAGGCATCATGTGCATACTTCCCTGTCTGGTACAGACACGTGCACTTTTAGCAGGGAGGTCAGAGTGATCAAAGGTGATGAGACTACTGGTGACAAGCACAGGTAGCTGAAAGAATGGAGCCTTCCTCCTTGTGGACAGAACAGTTCTCCTGCACCTTCATGTGACAGAGGTGGTGAAAGCCCAGAATCCAAAAGGCAAGGTCTCTCAACCCCCTACAGGTTAGATACTGCAGACCCACTGGCCTCTCCTCAGAAAGCCTCCCTTTGCTCCAAACTGTATAATCATCTATCCCATTCTCGTGAACATTTGGAAAGCACACAAATACTGACACACATGCAATTCCCAGCTGCACTGCTGATGACAAGCAAAATCACTGTGAATGTGAGGTTTCTACTCTGGCAGTGGCGCTTCTTCACTCAGCTTCTGGGAGATCAGCCACAAGGTCCTAAAAGTAAGCATTGCCAAGTCCACAGGGAATCTGGAATCTGGAATCTCACTGACACAGGTTCTAGCATTTACAATTCGAAAAATGAATTGATGGATGGAAGCGATTTACACTGCATTTCAGTCCATGCAGATTTGCTACAACTACACAACTACTTAAACTATACAACTGCTTTGGCTACAAGAAGTTAAGTTAACTTCTTCTGTGTGGTTCCTCAGTTATTTGAATGCTGTTCAAATCATATGAGATATCATACGAGTAAGGCAACGAACAGAGGAAAAATTAGTCTGTGAAAGCCGTGTTTCAACATACCAGGCCCACAGGCTAACTATAAAACTTATTAATGTACCCAGGCACCTTTCCTCATATACTTGCTTCTTAAAAATGAGGGAATCTTACTGGTATATTGCCAGTATTTGAGGTGGGTGCCCAGCCCAACACCTTCGCAGACACTGCTGACCTGTCTCCACATTAAAAATGGCAGGCAATGCATCAGGCAGCCCGCCCACCCTTGTGCCTATTGAGGTCCTTGTTTGGCTAACTGATTGTCACTGAAGAGCCTCATGTGCCTCCACCACAATAAGAAGTGGTAATAGAATTGGTAGGAGGGCAGAGCAAGCAGCACAGCAACTTCCATCATGTGGGTCACGTTCAGGAAGGAAACGAAAGGCAGGATACCTCCTCTAGGTGGTTCATCAGGTGTATACCCTTGCCTCCAAACCATCACCACCACTAAAAGACCTTGTAACCCTCGTTCTTCCCTCCCCCAACTCAAATCCAACAATACACAACCTTCTTCTATCCCTTCATGGCAAATAGTCAGAGAGATCTGAAAAAAGCCCTTCAGCCCATTGTGTCCAAGTCAGTCAAAAACAACCCCCTAACTATTCTAATCCATTTTCCAGCACTTGGCCCATAGCCTTCTATGCCTTGGCATTGCAAGTGTACATCCAAATACTGTTTCAAATATTATGAGAGTTTCTGCCTCTACCACCCTTACAGGCAGCAAGTTCCAGATTCCCATCACTTCACATCTCCTCCAGACATTCTGCTCTGTAACTTAAGTCTATGCCCCTAGTCACTGATCCCTCCACTCAGAGAAAACTTTTATTCCCATCTACCCTGTGTCCCTCACAATTTTATAAACACAATCATGTCCCCCTCAGTCTCCTCTACTCCAAGAAAAACAAGCCTGACTATCCAGTCTCTTTCCCCTCAGGGGTGTGCCACACAGGCCTGACCAAACAACTCTGACTTATATGAAATCAAGGATGCGTCACTCCATTATCTTTGGGGACTGCCTGTACTCCCTTCTCCAGATAAAAGAGTTCTAGTTTGTTCAATCTTTCCTGATAGTTATAATCTTTCAGTAGCATTTTTGTAATTTTTTCTTGTCAGTAGCTCTACGTCCTTTTTATAATCTGGAGACCAGAAATCTCCCTATTCCAAGTGTGGTTTACCCAAAATTCAATACAAGTCTATTTTGGAATGTGCAAGAGAGAGAGCGTGGTTATTAATTTTTGGAGACAGATGAGGTGAAGATGTGGGTGAAAGTATAGGCAGGTACGAGGACATAAACAAAGAAGAGGGCGAGGTACCTGCCCCACACAGTCCAGAAGGCCGCCGGCCAGTATGCATCCAGTCCCGCTTCATCCTCTGCAATAAACGCAGGGCTGTCATGGAAACCTCATGGTTCTTATCCCCAAACTCTAGCATATGGGCAAATCTTGGGATATATAAACATGGATCTGTGCAGAAAGGAAAAAAAAAAATGTTACAATGACGAGGGAAAAGAAAGAATAGAAATAAAATTCATACCCAATGTGCGTTGGTCGTCTGTGGCAGGGACAGTAGGAATCATCTCCAACCAAAGGCTCTTCTGGAAAACTGTTGTAAGATTCATAACCAACCCTACAGGTCTTTGGGAGTCCCCAAGGACCACTTGGTTTCTGACCACCTATCATCAGATTCTTTGGCACATTTACACCTCATTTCTGTTGCTGTAAAATGTATACAATAAAAACGTTAAAATTCCTGCAGTGATTTTTCTGCTATCAATTTGGTTGCAGAAATGTTAAGTCGAGCTCTCTCTCTATAGTTAGTTCCTCAGAGTGTGTGGCTGTAAGAGGTGTCTAAACATGCTCCTTTTCCGGGAAATCCCACACACAAATGTCTGAATGTGGCCACCCATTTGGCCCCCCACCTTGTGCCACTTAGTAGGGAGGCCCTGCCTGCTCTCTCAGATGAATATCGAGGATTCAAATAGGAGCATAGGAGTTGTCTGCTGCATTAGCCTATGTTTATTCCTTAATCAATCCAAAGAAACAGGTTATCTGACCATTTACCTCATTGCTGTGTGGATCTTGCAGCGAACAAACGGTCACATTTCCTACGACCCCCATCAATGAGTGCACTTCAAAAGTAACAAAAACAGAAATTGCTAGAAAAACTCAGCAGGTCTGGTAGCATCTGTGAAGAGAAACCAGAGTTAACATTTCGGGTCTGGTGACCCTTCCTCAGATTTGAATTTCTGTTTTTGTTTCTGATTTTGTTTAGTGTACACTTCAAAAGTACATAGTTGAATGGAAAGTGCTTAAAGAAACCCAAGGTCATGAAAGGTGCTACTGAAATTGGAGATTGTTCTCTCTTATATCGCAGCTGCGCAAACCTCCACATACCAACTCTACATAAAGATTCTCTGCTCTTAGTCAGTTCCTTGTCCCTGAATTTGCTTAGTCACAAATGACATCAATGGGACTGTGACAAAGATTTCTCTTCATCCCTTTGACTCACCACTCCATAGCCTACTGAACTCAACAGCTTAGATCACAGGCTATCTTCCCAGAATAAACATAAGGGACAGCAAATTCTGGAAATGTGAAACAAAAAAAAAGAGTGCTGGAGAAACACAACAGGTCTGGCAGCATTTGTGAAGTGAAAAACCGTCTTTTCAATTTGTTTTGTGTCCTTTCCTGACCTTTTCTCTCATTTGATTTGATTTATTATTATTGTCACATGAACAGAGACAATATCCAGAGAAATACCTTACATAAGTACATTGGGGTAAATGAACAGAATGTAAACTATGGTGTTACAGCTACAAGAAGGTACAGAGAAAGATCAGCTCTCACATGAGAGGTCCGCTTACTATTATGATAACAGCGGGGAAGAAGCTGTTCTTAAATCTGTTGGTACATGTTTTCAAACTTTTGTATCTTCTGCCCAATGGAAGAGGGTGGAAGAGAGTCTAAAAAGGGGTGGGAGGGATTTTTGATTATCGGACATAGCAAGAGCTGCAGATGCTGGAGTCAGAGTCAATACAGTGTGGAGCTGGAGGAACACAGCAGGCCAGGCAGCCTCAGAGGAGCAGGAAAGTCAACATTTCTGGCCTAGACCCTTCATCAGGATTGGGGAGGGGGAGGGGAGCTGGGAAATAAATAGAGGGAGAAGGGGTGGAGCTGGGGAAAGGTAGGTGGGATGGTGAAGGTGGATGCAGATAGGAAGTGATGAGGATTGGTCAATGGGAAGGTTGGGGTGGGTAGGTGGGACAGAAGATGGACAGGTTGTGTCAGGTCAAGGAGGCCGGGATGAGAGGGAGGGTTGGACACTGGATGAGGCTGGGGGTGGGGGAGATTTTGAAACTGGTGAATTCTATGTTCAGGCCATTGGGCTGTAGGCTCCCGAGGCAGAATAAGAAATGTTGTTTCTCCAGTTTGCAGGTGGTATCATTGTGACACTGGAGGAGGCCCAGGATGGACATGTCGCCCAGGGAGTGGGAGGGGGAGTTAAAATGGTTGGCAACTGGAAGATGTTGTTGAATACAGTGTACAGAGCGCAGTTGCTCCGTGAATCGGTCACCGAGTCTGCACTTGGTCTCACCGATGTACAGTAGGCCATATCGGGAGCAGAGGATACACCAGGTTGGAGGATGTACAGGTAAACCTGTCGGATTTGGAAAGTTTGTCTTGGGCCTTAGACGGAGGTGACGGGATGAGGCGTAGGGGCAGGTGTAGCACTTCCTGCGGTCGCAGGGAAAGGTGCCGGGTGTGGTGGCGTTGGTGGGGAGTGTGGAGTGGATGAGGGAGTCGCAGAGTGAGCGGTCCTCACGAAAAGCAGTTAGGGGTGGGGAGGGAAATATATCTTTGGTTGTGAGGTTGGATTGTAGGTGGTGGAAATGTCGGAGAAGATACGCTTTGATGATGAGGTGCAGGGCTGGATGAACACAGCAGGCCAAGCAGCATCATAGGAGCAGAGAGGCTGACGTTTCAGGCGTAGACCCTTCATCAGAAAAGGGGGAGGGGAAGGGGGTTCTGAAATAAATAGGGAGAGAGTGGGAGGCGGATAGAAGAGGGATAGAGGAGAGGATAGGTGGAGAGGAAACAAACAGGTCGAAGAGGCGGGGATGGAGCCAGTAAAGGTGAGCGTAGGTAGGGAGTTAGGAAGGGGATAGGTCAGTCCAGGGAGGACAGACAGGTCAAGGGGGCGGGATGAGGTTGGTCGGTAGGAGATGGAAGTGCGGCTTGAGGTGGGAGGAGGGGATAGGTGGGAGGAAGAACAGGTTAGGGAGGCAGGGACGAGCTGGACTGGTTTTGGGATGCGGTAGGGGGAGGGGAGATTTTGAAACTTCTGAAATCCACATTGATACCATTGGGCTGCAGGGTTCCCAAGCGGAATATGAGTTGCTGTTCCTGCAACCTTCGGGTGGCATCCTTGTGGCACTGCAGGAGGCCCAGGATGGACATGTCGTCTGAGGAATGGGAGGGGGAGTTGAAATGGTTCGGGACTGGGAGGTGCAGTTGTTTATTGCGAACCGAGCGTAGGTGTTCTGCAAAGCGGTCCCCGAGCCTCCGCTTGGTTTCCCCGATGTAGAGGTAGCCACACCGGGTACAGCGGATGCAGTATACCACATTGGCAGATGTGCAGGTGAACATCTGCTTGATGTGGAAAGTCTTCTTGGGGCCTGGGATGGGGGTGAAGGAGGAGGTATGGGGGCAGGTATAGCACTTCCTGCGGTTGCAGGGAAAAGTGCCGGGTGTGGTGGAGCTGGAGGGGAGTGTGGAGGGACAACTCTCTCCGTGACTCCCTTGTCCGCTCCACACTCCC